AATTGGTCTTACCCCCCTTTCGTTTACTTGTATTTTATATTCTTCATTCATGTTGTAATGTCTGTTGAATTCCATTCGACTTCAGATTTAAGATAAATGGATAATAATAGTAATAATGCACTCTCCTTCTTTGCGTTTGATGGCTAGTTTTTTATACCTAATTTAAAAATGGTGTTGTTTGCTCAGAGAGTATATCCTCATATTTGAGGCAGACTTAGGGGGTGGTGATCGAATGCACCATAGGTGCGAAAATAAAAGGTGTGGTTCGTACGTGTTAATTAATGAAGTGAAATGTGCGGACATGGCCTTTGGTTTTGAGAGCTGCGAATTAATATCAACGGAAACAGAAATCTTTATTTTATTTTAAAATGACATGTGTGGTATCAGAACGGATTCAAAATACAGTTACATTAAACGTTGCTGGTTACGATAGCAGCTGTCACAAGAGGAAATATACAGAAAACTGAGATCTTTTAAATTACTTGGAAATCTGACATTTGTCAACCCGACCTCTCATTTGTACAAATATCTATTTACATTTTCAGCGATCATATTCTCGGTAGAGCTTTGACAAATACACATATAATATGAATGATTCCCTCACACCTACTTTATCATTAAACTCAAAATCACCCTGCCATTGGGATTTGCTTCAACCATCAACCCTATGTCTATAGACAAAAATGCCCTACTTTTTCAAAATCATGCGTGCATCATATCACAAACATCGTGTCATAGGGAAATCAGCTTATTTCTCCTTTTCCGATAATGATATAGTGTCCTTGTAGCATCTCGACTCAGTCCTGTAATTCTCTTCTGCACGGATGTCCCCAATAAAAAGTCAAACGTCTACAGTGCATTCAGAATCGTCTTCTTGTATTTTATATTCTTCATTCATGTTGTAAAGGCGATTGAACGCCATTGGACTTTAGATTTAAGATAAATGGATAATGCACAGAAAACTGAGATCTTTTACTTTGCTTGGAAACCTTTCATTATATCATTTTAGTTGTAAAACCGCCGGTCTATTACCTGTTTAACCCGACCTCTCATATGTACGAATATTAATTTACATTTTTCAGCGATCATATTCTCTGCACAGCTTTTTGACAAATACACATGTAATAGTAACAAGATGCTATCCTCTTCCAGGGTGGCAGATTTTATAGTTAATTTTTCAAAAAGCCATCAAATGACTGTCTATTTATCTAAAGGCATATCTGTGAATGTCTGGTGAAAAATCAATCTGTGGTTCTGGTAGAGTGTAACAAAGTACCTCGTTAGTGTGCTAACTGATGTACTGCGAACTAGTGGAGTCAACAACACTTGTACATTGAGCAAATTGTCTAAGAGCAGTTAAACTGCTACAGCAGTGTAATATGGCATAACGTGACACCAATTCAACCAACGTAATGGGGGCTACAATGTCGACCACGCCGCCCCCAGATTAAAGTAACATATCCCTTCATTCTGAAGATTCATACAATAATCACAGTCTTGATCTTTTAATTCAAATTAATAAATTCTGGTGAACAATGCATCTATGTAGATCAACTAAAAAAGAACAAAAATATATATGCATATAAGGTTGCATTCACAACAGATGGTCCTCGGATCTACTGGTCCGCGGATCAAATATGGCAGGTCCTACATGAAAGCAAGACCGCCTATGGTTCAAAGTTCTTTACTCAAACTGGTTTAATAAGGTTAGGATACCAGACGACCTCTGAGGAAGCCACTGTAATCAGCAAAACAGCGCCGTCTGTTTCTTTAATGAATTGGGGACCATGACCGTTTCTGGACCCCTGAAACCGCGTGTCTTATTAATTGAGGTCAGATTTCACTTGTACCGCTCAACTAGTCAAATCAAAGTTTACAGACATCCTGAAGAGGCGTACGACGAAGCGTGTGCCGCGTCTTAAGTGACTAGGGTAATTCACAGTGTCAGTATTTGGAGTGGATGCCGCATTGGTGCCAAAACATCAATGGTATTCATCGATGAAAACCTGAACCACATCAAATAAAGGAATAATCTGGGAGCCACTTGACTATCATTTGATGGGGGGTTACCTTAGGAACAATTATAGGTTGCACGATGAGATTGTCGGTTCACACAGAGCACTTTTCTTACCAGATAACTTGCAGAACCAAACTAATAAGCAGCTACCTTGGTCAACAAAATCGCCATATTTGAACCACATAGACAATATTTGGGTAGGTCATTACTCGCTGAATCAGCGGTCTACATGCCCTACAACAAAACTGAACCAAATTGGACAAGTTTTTAGGAATTTCATTCCAGATTGAAATCTAAATACCTATCCCAGAGAATGCCTCGTCGATTAAGAGCCCTGGTAGCAGCCAGATGAGGTCAGACATAGCAGCGACTGTTGCTGTGTCTAGTAACTGATATGAGCGTCCTTTGTGAAGCGTTACTTTTTCACAGACGATAATTTCGAAAAAAAATGGAGATTAAAATAACGTTTTTAATGGTTGTTGTATGACTTTGAATCAGTCGTGTTTTTGTTTGCTTAATTAGGTGAAGTCAATGAAAGAGCTGATGTCACAATTACATTGAATAGATTATTAAAAATCATTAAAACAAGATGTAAATCCTTGTTTTCAATTTTAAGTGGAAAAAGTAGGAAAAAATCAGAACAAAACGGTTTGGAAAAAATTCCATATTAAATATCAAGTCTGAATAAGATAAAAATGTGAATGATTGGCGACATGGTGGTGTAGTTGACAGCGAGGCCAATCAAGGCAGTATGTTGTATTTATCATGTAAACTTTGGCTTCGAGTTTGACTCTGATTTTTATGACTTTGTTCATAGACCTACTACAAGATTTCAATTGCGTGAAAAAATATTTGACTTATTGGTACTAGACTTATTTTGGGCAATATTCCTAAAAAAAGTGAATATTTGACTCATCTGTTTTTTTTCGTGCAGATATTAATTAGACTTGTGATCCTTTCTACTGCGTGTGACTTATTATTACTACCACGCATATGTGTGACATTATTACGAAATATTACAATGCTAAGCTCTACAAATATTATTTGCTTCTTGAATTAATCAACAAGATTCCATGAGTTCCGTTACTTAATGTTTTTTATCTCTGTTGTAATCATGGATATCCGGTCTATAAGACGATATCTGAAATACTAAGAAGCTCAGCAGATTATTAAAAGCAAATTATTCTCCTGTGATCAGCTTAAACCCACGCCCTGGGCAGTTAATTGGCCTGAAAAACAGATCCACTAGCTGACTGACAGATTTGAAAACAGACTCTCTAGCTGAGTGACAGGAAAACTGCATAACTCGATCCTACTGCCAGTTTTGACGTCGTTGGTGCCCCATACGTAGTGATATCAAGATATTTGATAAGAAAAGCATTCGACCCGAAATTTGCAAAATCTTATTCTAACACAACAGTATTTTAAACCAGTGCTTAGTATTAAAGATGTCATTTTTGATTTGACAATTAATATCCTGCCATGCGACGCCACATTGACTCTCAAACTTGTTTTCTTTCAAGAGGAGATTTTCTGAAAAATATCCTTCAACTTAAAATCTTAAATCTTAAGCTTAAAATCTTAAATCTTATAAGCGAGAAACTCCTTGGAGATGGATCGATCGCGTTAGATCGATCTAGGTAGCGGAAAGGGGTTTAAGATAGCAGCTATCACAACAGGAAATACCAAGGAAACTGAGATCTTTTATTTTGCTTGGAAATCTTTCATTTCATCATTTCAGTTGTAAAACCGCCTGACTATTACCTGTTAAACCCGACCTCTCATCTCTACAAATATTTATTTACATTTTCAGAGATCATATTCTCGGTAGAGCTTTTTGACAAATACACATGTTATGGTAATTATTACACCCACTTTATCATTAGACAGCAAGGTCATCCTTGCCGTGGGATTTGCTTCAACCATCAACCCTATGTCTATGGACTAACAAATGTCCTACTTTTTTTAAAATCATGCGTGTATCACATAAAAAAAATCATGTCAATCGGAAATCAGCTTATGTGACTCCTCTTCCTAAAATAACATAATGTCCTTGTCACATCTCGACTCGATTACTGGGATTCTTTTCTGCACGGATGTCCCCAATAAAAAGTCAAACGTCTACAGTGTATTCAGAATAACTCGTTTTCTCCTTTTCGTTTACTTGTATTTTATATTCTTTATTCATGCTGTAAATTTCAGAAATAAATATCTGTGCGAAAAGCAGCCCGTAACTGTCTGTAATAAAGGTTTTCATTTGAAGTGGTTAAAACTACTGTAAAGCCCGTTAAACACAATTGGATTTTAACTTTAGATAAATGGATGATAATAGTAATAATACACTCTCCTTTACGTAAGATGGTCAGTTTACTCTGATACTAAATTAACACGGTTTTGTTTACTCAGAGAGTGTAAATCGTCATATTTGAGGCAGGCTTAGGGAGAAGAGATTGGATACACCATGGGTGTGAAAATAAAAGGTGTGGTTCGGACGTGTTAATCAATGATGTGAAATGTGTGGACATGACGTCCTTTGATTTTGGGAGTTGCAAATTAATATCACTGAAAACAAAGTATCGTTTCATTTAAAAACGACATGTTGAATAAATGCAGTGGTATCAAGACGGATTCAAAATAGCGTAACATTATACGTTGCTGCTTAAGATAGCAGCTGCCACAAAAGAAAATACACAGAAAACTGAGATCTTTTATTTTGCTTGGAAATCTTTCATTTCATCATTTCAGTTGTAAAACCGCCTGAATATTACCTGTTAAACCCGACCTCTCATCTCTACAAATATTTATTTACATTTTCAACTACTTGTATCATATTCTCGACAGAGCTTTTTGACAAATACACGTTTCAGTAACAAAATTCCTCGTTGGGGTGATAACGGTTGTCACAACGGAAAATACCAAGAAAGATGGTATCGCTTTCCACCTGGAAATCCTAGAATTTTCCATTTCAGTAAGCTGTCTTGAATCTCACTGTAAAAGCTATAAATACACCCGTTTCTTAAAGGAAGGAGAACCATCTTCCTTAAAGATCCCATTGCCAAACATCACTCAAGTTCAACATTGCACAGGTAAGGAAGTAGCTTTAACCACTTCAAATGAAAACCTTTATTACAGTCAGTTACGGGCTGCTTTTCGAACAGATGTTTATTTGTGAAATTTATTCTCCCTTACATGTAGTATTAGCCTTGTCTAGGACGAAAAAACTTTGCAAGAGATCTCCATAGAATAGTATTTGTCTTTCTATGAGCGCAATCAAAACAGAGGACTGACATATCCGCGGATCAAATATGGCCGACATGGCTGAATGCTTGTTGCGTATTCCCCGCGGGGAATCTTTTCACTGTCTAAATTGAAAGATTTCTATATTGAAAGATTTACATTTGCGTTTTCTTTTTATGTTTTCCATTAGTTGGTATCTGCTGTTGTCCAGAATGGCTGTAGCACGAATAATTGTGGCAGTGCTTTGTTTTCTGTCTGTCTCAAGAGGCCATGTAGAACAAGGTAGGTTTAAGCGCCTTAACAATAATCAAATATTATAGTTAAACTCACCCGTAAAACATCTCATTGTTAAGGTACTCCAAAGCAATTGCATTCAAATGTCTTTCTTTTATTTATTTTCTAAGGCTCGAATGACGCGGCTTCCCATTCTGACATTATTCTCGGTGAGTAGTTTTATATTTCTAATTTCACATTTCGTTAATCAAGAAGTGCATTCATCACGCGCGCGAACAAGCATAAGCACAAACAAACATGGATGCACACTCACACGCACACCCACTTCTTAGATAGTGAATTCTTAGATAGAAATTTGATAATTTTATGACTGTACAGATCACGCTTTACCATGGCGATCTGATTAAGGATATTGCAACACTTAATTATCATCCAGATACCGAAAATGAATTTTCCTGTATCTAATTATTCAATAATACATCTATCTTTGTGCTGATTTAAAACAATAAAAAACATCAAAAATATTAAATATCGGCGTGTATATGTGTTCGTTGCAATGTATATGCATAGGCAACCCAAAGCTGTAATTTAACACCTTTCTATTTTGAGGTGAGATAGCAAACGGTATGGGGCGTAGCTTCATCCCTGAAAAAGATTTTGTCACAAAAATTGGAAGAGGTGACCTCGAGTGTATGGAATACAATCCTATCCCGCCATTTTGGTTTAAATGTTTTTGATATGGACTTATGATCCCCTAATTTCAGATTGTCATAAAACCAAGGCATCATTGTGCTTGATCAACGCTAAAATCTGAACTAAGACTTTTTAGAATAATCACTGGCAGTTTTTTGGAGTACTAAATGGTGTCATTAAATCGGCGTTAAACAGTGATCGTGGTGGCTCAGGTATAATTGCCATATGTACGTTATATTTTGTTTCCTTGCAGCGCGGCAAAAACGCTTCATCGACGTACAAACAATTGGACAGCATTTGGGGAAGCTCTTGAACACAAAGACCGTGCCCGACTCCGTATCGGGTGCACTCGGAGCCTTGGACAAAGTCACCCAGCTGTTGACCTGTCTCCCTACAAGGTGCACTGGCAACTGCTGTAGCAGTCCTTCTTACTGTAGCATCCCCCAACTCCAGTCTAAAGTAATCCGCAACCCTAGGGCCAAGTTTACCCTGTGTAAGAACCCGTGGAAAGTTCGAATCGATCTGGACGCCAAGTTCAATTTACCCTGGTGGGCTAAATTGCTAAAGGCGGGTTTTGTTTTTTTACTCATATTCTTTATTTTATTTAATTTTTGTTATTCTATAGGGGAATAATCTTAAAAAAGCTAATTTAACAACTTCAATGTTTAATAACAACCAATCTTAAACCAATTTTTTCACATCTCTTATTGAATATCGACACATTCATATGAGGATAAAGTTAAATGAACGGGATTTGTTACCTTTACACCATTTGCTATACTATATAAAATTCATCGTTTAAGCATATTGTTAATATCGATTTTATCATTATAGCTAAACATACGCATACATTTGTTTATGGTTCCATTTAATTTTATTTGTTATTTCATTATTACTATTATTTTGTTTTTGCACAGATCAAAGTAAACCCAATCATAATTCCCATAGATAGCAGGGAAAAGGAAGGGGTGATACAGATAAAGTCCACCACAACGCTCGCCAAAGCATCTGTGATAGGCATTGGTCTGGGAAAAGCCAAGTTGGAGCTTGATCTTTTCCTTAGATACGACTGCACTAAGCCGAGAGATAACCCATCCCTTCGCAGAAAGTGAGTACAATACATATGCAAGTGATGCTTTACAAATGCGCTTCTCCCAAGTGTACCATCAATAGACATCAATGTATAATAAGGCTATGATTTATTGTAAGAAAGTCGTGCTACACCTGCGCCTTGGTGTTACTTACACAAAACCATTAAGACCGAACTAGTAAGAATTATGAAGAACCTTGAATTTGATTTTGAGATTGATTTTATCATCTAACAAAAATGTCTTCAGTATTTTAAAACTTTTGGCATTTCTCCGTTTCTGTTGTTATGTTTTTTTTGAAAATACTGAGTCGCATGAGATCATAACTTAAATACATGTATATTTGCATCACTTTTAGACAACGACAATTACAGGAAGCGTTAAATACCTAATTTGTGTTCCTGGAACCTTAATTCAAGTGTCCTGTAGCCTTTGCACGATGACTGTAAAATATTTTCTCCATTATAGATATAACACCATGTATACAGATGGCAAACCTGGGCCTGATGGCAACAAGTTGTTCTACAAGGTGGACATCAAGTTTAAAGAATACAGGAAGAACTTCTGGTGCTTCTGCTACAAACTTAAGAAAACCAGAGCCTTGGTTGCAAAGAAGGGCCATTTTGCAGAGGGGCCGAAGTCCTGTATCAGAGACTCCCAACGTGGCTAGGTTCATGTAGGTAAGGTATGATATACCTAATAATTTTTCTAACGTGATGGTTTTTCAATACAGCATTTTTTAAAATCCGATTCGCAAACGCAGGGTTTCGGAAATAAAAATCAGGTTTAGCAATATTGGCAACGCATGCAGGGACGTTGAGAGTCCAGTTTAGTACACTAAATGGCACTGCCCAGATCAATCATATCACTACACATTGTACCTCTGCTATGAAGACATTCTCGCCTGTGCCTGGACCAGGACATATACCAGGACCGCCGTGAGAGCTTATCTCCATATGTTCAAAGATAATTCTCTGGCTAATTATGTGCCCCTTATTGTCCACCGAGAATGTTTTTTATATATATGACGTCAGTGCCCAGTTTGTTTTAGGTACACGTAGAATGCATACTACATGATCAAGAATTAATGCCGTGTTATTAAATCTCTTTTCTAGGACCAGGTATGGCATTATGCACCAAGAAGATTATCATCTCCTGCAACGTAAATATTCAGATATAAACTAGCAATCTGCTCAATATGCGATTCCCATTAACTGAAGTAAACATAATTCGGGGACCGGGAGCCGCACCTCTGTGGTTTCAACTGAGATGGCTCACCAGCCGATACAACATTTGATCCGGCTAGGTGCTTAAAGAATACCATATTTGACACTCGTATCGAGTCTACTTATGTTTCAGCTACTTGAAATTCAATTTCGAAACAAACAAGCCTATAATTATATTTTATATTTCCACTACTAGTCTCCGTTTATTTACGAATGCATCGGCCAGAAGCAAACTTTCCGACTATTTTAATAAATATTCAGAACGCAATTTTGATGGTCTTTGTTATAATGCGAAAAGCACACTAACTGTTACTACCTGGAAAAAACTTATTGTATTCATAATTAGTAGTTTTTGAGTAAGATGAGATATTCAAGAGTATTAATGTATATGGGAACGAATAAAATCACCTGGCTCTTAACATGATTGAATGAAAATGCCATCTTTGGGGTTTTGGGTTTAGAAATACGTGTAGAATATACATGTACAAGTGTTTCTAACATAGCTGGAGATCGAAAGCGACAAAACGAGACAACAAAATATTCCTCCTGTCTGCTTGGTTAACCCCCGTTCTTCTAGAGCACTGTAATCAGCATTTTTAAAGTAAAGTCGGAAGGCATTCAGTTCGTCGTCAGATTACAATCGATTCAATTAAACATACGACGTCATGCGATCCAATGACACGCCGCTTATCTCCAACAAAGGGCATGCTTTGATTTACTGCCTACGAAGAGCTCGCCGTAATCAATCAGCCCATTCAAATGGGTCGGGTCAGTTTGACTGAAAATGGGATTTTGAGGAGGTTGCATATGGGTAGTGAAGATATCTCTTATAACGTTTGCCCCCTTCCCGCAATTTATATATCGTAGAGTTCATGTGCCTTGTGATAGTTCTTTCCTTCCGCTGAACTCTCGGCGTTCGCGTCTTTCCACGTGTTGGCCGATTTTGAGGCTATGCTTTGTGAGGACACCTTGCCTGCCAAAGTCTTCTTTACCACATATAATACCTGTCAAATACAGATAACGCAATGGAAATGGGAACAAAACACACCCAAATTGGCCACATCAGTATGCTGCATTCATGTGAAGGGAATTAACGTATACTGAAAGCGAGTGCCAGTAAAAGATATTAGTCGTTCAATTAGCATCTCAAGGACAAATATGTGGATTTAGGGACCATTCAGATCGAGAAGAGCCAAGAGCTAGATAGGCCGCGTCAAATCTTGACCGGTTGAATTGAGCCGAGATTTAATTACTGTGCCCCTGCAGGGGCGACGAGTGGGTAGGCGTCTGAGAGGCGGAGAGACTATACAGTATTAAGTGGTCTTCCTTTTATGTTGGTCCGCCATATTTAGGTCGCGGCCTAGCACTCGGCTCTTCTCGATCTGAATGGGACCTTATATAACATTCATATCTACTTCTTCAAATAAAGCTCCTATGTATGAAACAAGAAAAAAAAACTATGCAAAAACTTTAAACTAAAACTATAAACAAAAACTAAATTATTGTCATCCAATGTACAATCAGATGGCAGCACTGTTTAAGATATATATTGATAAATGGGACTGTTGATGCTTAGGCCANGGAACAATTGGTCTTTCCCCCTTTCGTTTACTTGTATTTTATATTCTTCATTCATGTTGTAATGTCTATTGAATTCCATTCGACTTAAGATTTGAGATAAATGCATAATAATAGTAATAATGCACTCTCCTTCTTTGCGTTTGATGGCTAGTTTTTTATACTTAATTAAAAAATGGTGTTGTTTGCTCAGAGAGTATGTCCTCATATTTGAGGCAGGCTTAGGGGGTGGTGATCGAATGCACCATAGGTGCGAAAAAAAAGGTGTGGTTCGGACGTGTTAATTAATGAAGTGAAATGTGCGGACATGGCCTTTGGTTTTGAGAGCTGCGAATTAATATCAATGGAAACAGAAATCATTATTTTATTTTAAAATGACATGTGTGGTATCAGAACGGATTCAAAATACAGTTACATTAAACGTTGCTGGTTACGATAGCAGCTGTCACAAGAGGAAATATACAGAAAACTGAGATCTTTTAAATTACTTGGAAATCTGACATTTGTCAACCCGACCTCTCATCTGTACAAATATTTATTTACATTTTCAGCGATCATATTCTCTGTAGAGCTTTTTGACAAATACACATATAATATGAATGATTCCCTCACACCTACTTTATCATAAAAACTCAAAATCACCCTGCCTTTGGGATTTGCTTCAACCATCAACCCTATGTCTATAGACAAAAATGCCCTACTTTGTCAAAATCATGCGTGCATCATATCACAAACATCGTGTCATAGGGAAATCAGCTTATTTCTCCTTTTCCGATAATGATGTAGTGTCCTTGTAGCATCTCGACTCAGTCCTGTAATTCTCTTCTGCACGGATGTCCCCAATAAAAAGTCAAACGTCTACAGTGCATTCAGAATCGTCTACTTGTATTTTATATTCTTCATTCATGTTGTAAAGGCGATTGAACGCCATTGGACTTTAGATTTAAGATAAATGGATAATGCACAGAAAACTGAGATCTTTTACTTTGCTTGGAAATCATTCATTTCATCATTTCAGTTGTAAAACCGTCTGACTATTACCTGTTAAACCCGACCTCTCATCTGTACAAATATTAATTTACATTTTCAGAGATCATATTCTCGGTAGAGCTATTTGACAAATACACATGTTATGGTAATTATTATTCCCACTTTATCATTAGACAGAAAGGTCATCCTTGCCGTGGGATTTACTTCAACCATCAACCCTATGTCTATGGACTAACAAATGTCCTACTTTTTTTAAATCATGCGTGTATCACATAAAAACATCGTGGCATTCGGAAATCAGCTTATGACTCCTCTTCCTAAAATAATATAATGTCCTTGTCACATCTCGACTCGATTACTGGGATTCGTTTCTGGACGGATGTCCCCAATAAAAAGTCAAACGTCTACACTGCATTCAGAATAACTCGTTTTTTTCCTTTTCGTTTACTTGTATTTTATATTCTTTATTCATGCTGTAAAGCCCGTTAAACACAATTGGATTTTAGACTTTAGATAAATGGATAATAATAGCAATAATACACTCTCCTTTACGTAAGATGGAAAGTTTACTATGATACTAAATTAATACGGTTTTGTTTACTCAGAGAATGTAAATCCTCATATTTGAGGCAGGCTTAGGGAGAAGAGATTGGATACACCATGGGTGTGAAAATAAAAGGTGTGGTTCGGACGCGTTAATCAATAATGTGAAATGTATGGACATGACGTCCTTTGATTTTGGGAGTTGCAAATTAATATCACTGAAAACAAAGTATCGTTCCATTTAAAAACGACGGATTCAAAATAGCGTAACATTATACGTTGCTGCTTAAGATAGCAGCTGCCACAAAAGAAAATACACAGAAAACTGAGATCTTTTATTTTGCTTGGAAATCTTTCATTTCATCATTTCAGTTGTAAAACCGCCTGAATATTACCTGTTAAACCCGACCTCTTATCTGTACAAATATTAATTTACATTTTCAACTACTTGTATCATATTCTCGACAAAGCTTTTTGACAAATACACGTTTCAGTAACAAACTTCCTCATAGGGGTGATAACGGTTGTCACAACGGAAAATACCAAGAAAGATGACATCGCGTTCTACCTGGAAATACTAGAATTTTCCATTTCAGTAAGCTGTCTCACTGTAAAAGCTATAAATACACCCGTTTCTTAAAGGAAGGAGAACCATCTTCCTTAAAGACCCCATTGCCAAACATCACTCAAGTTCAACATAGCACAGGTAAGGAAGTAGCTTTAACCACTTCAAATGAAAACCTTTATTACAGTCAGTTACGGGCTGCTTTTCGCACAGATGTTTATTTCTGAAATTTATTCTCCCTTACATGTAGCATTAGCCTTGTCTGGGACGAAAAAACTTTGCAAGAGATCTCCATAGAATAGTATTTGTCTTTCTATTAGCGCAATCAAAACAGAGGACTGACATATCCGCGGATCAAATATGGCCGACATAGTTGAATGCTTGTTACGTAATCCCCGCGGGGAATCTTTTCACTGTCTAAAGGAGAATTAAGCGGCAAACTTATTGGTGGGTTGCCATATTTGATCCGCTGATATGTTTGTCCTCTGCTCTCATTCGCTCTATATTGAAAGATCTTACATTTGCGTTTTCTTTTTTATGTTTTCCATTAGTTGGTGTCTACTGTTGTCCAGAATGGCTGTAGCACGAATAATTGTGGCAGTGCTTTGTTTTCTCTCTGTCTCAAGAGGCCATGTAGAACAAGGTAGGTTTAAGCGCCTTAACAATAATCAAATATTATAGTTAAACTCACTCGTAAAACATCTCATTGTTAAGGTACTCCAAAGCAATTGCATTCAAATGTCTTTTCTTTTATTTATTTTCTAAGGCTCGAATGACGCGGCTTCCCATTCTGACATTATTCTCGGTGAGTAGTTTTATATTTCTAATTTCACATTTCGTTAATCAAGAAGTGCATTCATCACGCGCGCGAACAAGCATAAGCACAAACAAACACGGATGCACACTCACACGCACACCCACTTCTTAGATAAATGAAATTTGATAATTTTATGACTGTACAGATCACGCTTTGCCATGGCGATCTGATTAAGGATATTGCAACATTTTATTATCATCCAAATACCGAAAATGAGATTTTTCCTGCATCTAATTATTCAATAATGCATCTATCTCTGTGCTAGTTTAAAACAATAAAAAAACCCTCGAAAATATAAAATACCGGCTTTTATATTTGTTCGTTGCAATGTATAAGCATAGGCAACTAAAAGCTTTAATCGTCAATTTAACACCTTTCTGTTTTGAGAGGAGATGGCAATCGGTACGGGGCGTAACTTCATCCCTGAACAAGACTTTTTTCACGAAAATTGGCCACGAGTGACCACAAGTGGCTACAATCCCGTGCCGTCATTTTGGTGACAACATCCTTAAGAGCGCTTTTTTTTTAATACGGGCCCACATAGCTATGACAAATAGAAAATAAATCCGATTTTGTTGAATAAGACCTTCTAATACTAAATCCACCTAAAGATGAAATAAGGTGCCGTAGTACATATGAAGGAATTTTTATGCCCGACTTTAGTTAACTGTTTTTTTAATTATAGTTAGTTAGTTAGTTAAATTGATTTATTTCCGTGACAATGCCGAATGTATACAAATATAATACAATAATGTGAATATATAAGTAACGGCCCAGCCCTATGGGCTTACAAAGTCACCGGTTACCAAACATTAGTTATATAGAAGCTTCTTTCTGACCTGAAAGCAGTTAAAGAGAAACCTCGCTGTGCTTCTACATGTATGAAAATCTGTAAAAAGCACTTGAGGTCTCTCTTTAACCTCTTCCAGGTCATGAAAGATAAGATCACCCACTTTTACTTTTTCAAACCATTTTTTCCTTAAATTTTTATAAATTGGACAATCAAATAAAATTATAATTATAATTATATTCAATAAGCATGAATTAATCAGTTAAGCACTTTGTTAGTTGAAACGTTATCAAACAGACACTTTAAAGAAATGGGATATTTTCGATAAAATGCAATTATACTTTAATTTTTAAGAACCACATTTTATATAACTCAGCACAGAAAACAATTCGTGACAGACTTTTTCCAGGTAAAAATGATAAAAATAAAAGGCAGTGGTACATGTACATACGCTTACAGTAATTTTACTTCTGATTTCACTTTGTCAGTTACGGGAACTTCTGGAATGAATGGGCAACTACTTATTTCATATGAAATTGCCATATATACTTTATGTTTTGTACTTTGCTGCCTTGTAGCCCGGCAAAAACGCTTCATCGATGTACAAACAATTGGACAGCATCTGGGGAAGCTCTTGAACACAAAGACCGTGCCCGACTCCGTATCGGGTGCACTCGGAGCCTTGGATAAAGTCACCCAGCTGTTGACCTGTCTCCCTACACGGTGCACTGGCAACTGCTGTAGCAGTCCTTCTTTCTGTAGCATCCCCCAACTCCAGTCTAAAGTAATCCACAACCTTAGGGCCAAGTTTACCCTGTGTAAGAACCCGTGGAAAGTTCGAATCGATCTGGACGCCAAGTTCAATTTACCCTGGTGGGCTAAATTGCTAAAGGCGGGTTTTGTTTTTTTTACTCATATTCTTTATTTTATTTAATTTTTGTTATTCTATGGGGAAATAATCTTAAAAAAGCTAACTTAAAGCAATAATAACTCTTCGTTTCGGCCAAAAAATGAATTTTCCTGGAGTAAACAACAATTTTCCCATACTTACCAATGGTTAATAAATCCATTTTTACATTCAAAGTTAGTCCCTGGTTTTTTTCTAAAAAGTTTAGTTTTTTGTTAAAATATCTTAAGAAGAAACACATGTGCAAGTGTTTCTATCTCTTAAGAGATTTTAACAGAGTATAGACATCATTGGAGGTCACGTGGTCTAAAGACAAGTTCAGATATCAGAATAAAAGCTATAACTGCTGTTTTTGTGGTAAAACAGAATATATTATATTTCTATGAGTTATTCACAAGGTTTTTATTGTGAAATATAGATCTCATACGAAGAGTTATTATCCCTTTAACAACTTCAATGTTTAATAACAAACAATCTTAAACCAATTTTTTCACATCTCCTATTGAATATCGACACATTCACATGAGGATAAAGTTAAATGAACGGGATTTGTTACCTTTACACCATTTGCTATACTATATAAAATTCATCGTTTAAGCATATTGTTAATATCGATTTTATCATTATAGCTAAACATACGTAACATTTGTTTATGGTTCCATTTAATTTTATTTGTTATTTTATTATTACTATTATTTTGTTTTTGCACAGATCAAAGTAAACCCAATCATAATTCCCATAGATAGCAGGGAAAAGGAAGGGGTGATACAGATAAAGTCCACCACAACGCTCGCCAAAGCATCTCTGATAGGGATTGGTCTGGGAAAAGCCAAGTTGGAGTTTGATCTTTTCCTTAGATACGACTGCACTAAGCCGAGAGATAACCCATCCCTTCGCAGAAAGTGAGTACAATACATATGCAAGTGATACTTTACAAATGCGCTTCTCCCAAGTGTACCTACAATAGACATCAATGTATAATAAGGCTATAATTTATTGTTAGAAAGTCGCGCTACACCTGCGCCTTGGTGTCACTTACACAAAACCATTAAGACCGAACTAGTAAGAATTATGAAGAACCTTGAATTTGATTTTGTGATTGATATTATCATCTAACAAAAATGTCTTCAGTTTTTTTAAACTTTTGGCATTTCTCAGTTTCTGTTGTTATGTTTTATTTGAAAATACTGAGTCGCATGAGATCATAACTTAAATATATTTGCATCACTTTTAGACAACGACTGCCAATTGCAGGGGCCATAAGGGCAATTGCAGGAAGCGTTAAATTCCTTAGTTGTGTTCCTCGAAACTTAATTTAAATGGTCCTGTCGCCTTTCACGATGATTGAGAATTTATTGTCTTTTATAGATATAATACCATGTATACAGATGGTAAACCTGGGCCTGATGGCAACAAGTTGTTCTACAAGGTGGACATCAAGTTTAAAGAATACAGGAAGAATTTCTGGTGCTTCTGCTACAAACTTAAGAAAACAAGAGCCTTGGTTGCAAAGAAAGGCCATTTTGCAGAGGGGCCGAAGTCCTGTATCAGAGACTCCCAAAGTGGCTAGGTTCATGTAGGTAAGGTATGATATACCTAATAATTTTTTAACGTGATGGTTTTTCAATACAGCATTTTTTAAAATCAGATTCGCAAACGCAGGGTTTCGGAAATAAAAATCAGGTTAGCAATATTGGCAACACATGCAGGGACGTTGAGAGTCCAATTTAGTAAGCTAAATGGCACTGCCCAGATCAATCATATCAATACACTTTATACCTCTGCTATGAAGACATTCTCGCCTGTGCCTGGACCAGGACAAGCCCCTACCAGGACCGCCGTGAGAGCTTATCTCCATATGTTCAAAGATAATTCTCTGGCTAATTATGTGCCCCTTATTGTCCACCGAGAATGTTTTGTATAGATATGAAGTCAGTGCCCAGTTTGCTTTAGGTACACGTAGAGAATGCATACTACATGATCAAGAATTAATGCAGTGTTATTAAATTTCTTTTCTAGGACCAGGTATGGCATTATGCACCAAGACTTGTGATCGGGAAGATTATCATCTCCTGCAACGTAAATATTCAGATATAAATTAGCAATCTGCTCAATATGCGATTCCCATTAACTGAAGTAAACATAATTCGGGGACCGGCAACCGCACATTTGGGGTTTCGACCGAGATGGCTCCCCAGCCGATACAACATTTGATCTGACTAGGTGCTTAAAGAATACCACATTTGATACACGTATCGAGTCTACTTATTTTTCAGCTTCTTGAAAATCAATTTCGAAACAAGCCTTTGTTTATAATGGTAAATTTCCACTACTAGTCTCCGTTTATTTAAGAATGCATTGGCCAGAAGCCAACTTTCCGACTATTTTAATAAATATTCAGAACGCAATTTTGATGGTCTTTGTTATAATGCGAAAAGCACACTAACTCTTGCTACCTGGAAAAAACTTATTGTATTCATAATTAGTAGTTATTGAGTAAGATGAGATATTCAAGAGTATAAATGTATATGGGAACGAATAAAATCACCTGGCTCTTAACATGATTGAATGAAAATGTCATCTTTGGGGTTTTGGGTTTAGAAATACGTGTTGAATATACATGTGCAAGTGTTTCTAACATAGCTGGAGATCGAAAGCGACAAAACGAGACAGCAAAATATTTCTCCTGTCTGCTTGGTTACCCCCCGTTCTTCTAGAGCACTGTAATCAGCATTTTTAGAGTAAAGTCGGAAGGCATTCAGTTCGTCGTCAGATTACAATCGATTCAGTTAAACATACGACGTCATGCGATCCAATGACACGCCGCTTATCTCAAAGAAAAGGGCATGCTTTGATTTACTGCCTACGAAGAGCTCGCCGTAATCAATCAGTCCATTCAAATGGGTCGGGTCAGTTTGACTGAAAATGGGATTTAGAGGTTGCATATGGGTAGTGAAGATATCTCTTATAACGTTTGCCCCCTCCCCGCAATTTATATATCGTAGAGTTCATGTGCCTTATGATAGTTCCTTCCTTCCGCTGAACTCTCGGCGTTCGCGTCTTTCCACGTGTTGGCCGATTTTGAGGCTATGCTTTGTGAGGACACCTTGCCTGCCAAAGTCTTCTTTACCACATATAATACCTGTCAAATACAGATACCGCAATGGAAATGGGAATAAAGCACACCCAAATTGGCCACATCAGTATGCTGCATTCATGTGAAGGCATTAACGTATACTGAAAGCGTGTGCCAGTAAAAGATATTGGTCGTTTAATTAGCATCTCTAGGACAAATATGTTGATTTAGGGACCATTCAGACCGAGAAGAGCCAAGAGCTAGATAGGCCGCGTCAAATTTTGACCGGTTAAATTGAGCCGAGATTTAATTACTGTGCCCCTGCAGGGACGACGAGTGGGTAGGCGTCTGAGAGGCAGAGAGACCATTACAGGATTAAGCGGTCTTCCTTTTATGTTGGTCCGCCATATTTAGGTCGCAGCCTAGATAGCACTCGGCTCTTCTCGATCTGAATGGGACCTTATATAAAATTCATATCTACTTCTTCAAATAAAGCTCCTATGTATGAAACAAGAAAAAAAGTATGCAAAAACTATAAACTAAAACTATAAACAAAAACTAAATTATTGTCATCCAATGTACAATCAGATGGCAGCACTGTTTAAGATATATATTGATAACTGGGACTGTTGATGCTTACCAGTAAGACTGTGATTATAGTACCTAGTGAAGCGCCCACTGATATTGCGGCAATAGTTGTTGGTTTCATATCTGCATTGGATTGCGCTCCAAGCTTGGAAAAAGAACAATTAAGGATTTGAAAAAAAACAAAAACATTATATGTGTCGTCATTAGAAAAGCGAATATAGGTCTAAGGTTAAAAACGTCTTGTAATGTCAAAAAGAGAAAACGTTAATTGCAAATACCTAATTGAAAAAAAAATGTAATAAGGGTACAGTGTAAATGTACTGCATTGCATTATGCTGTGTAAATGGTGTTAAAACAATAGCCTTTTAAAATTGGAACTGACCGAACTGTTTAAGCTACTTGGAGACGTTAACTCTTCGGTAGATTGCGTGAATCCATGATACGTTGTCTTGAAGTCCGACGTCGGCGGGGCGTCGGTAGTTGCTTGGGTAGTTTCTGTTACTGTTGTCATCTCTGTGGTGGTGATACACTGCTGCGACGAGTAGTTGAGCGCAAGCGTGTCGTCAATAAACGAAATAACGCACTGTCCCAGGTTACCCTCTAAGTCCCCGGCATTAATGGTGACACGTGGGTTACAACACGTAGCTCTGAATTATAACAAAATTGTTAAATAATTGATGTGAAATACACACAAAAAAATTGAATACTAAAAATACTAAAAATTAATTTTGGGTGGGGACCCCCCCCCCAGGGTGACCCTTTTATCACGGAAAATACACCAAATATCCTATCTGAAAAAAAAAGAGCTAAATCACATACGTAATGTTGACGTTGATGAAGTTTTTATCCCCCACGGAGAAATTAGAAATCAAAGGAATCGCTGCACTTATCCCGCCGGCGTTCAGGGTTGCCAGGCCAGAGTCGGTATCCCGAGCCTCTGCCACGGCGCTCCATCGGTATAAACGGCAGACACAGGGGTTGATTTGCGCCGCTGTGCAGTTCCCGTCTACTGAGATCAGGGTACACGATGGAGGCTCTCTGTCGGGCGGCTGAATGAATGGTAAAAAGTTGAAATTTTAATTTTAAAAAAAAATCATTTATTATATGCAGGATTTATAATAATAAAATGATATATTTTTAAATATAAAATATGATAAAAAGCAATACATTATAAACAACAAAATAGCATCAAACATAATTGAAAGGGTCCCACTAACGGGTACTTTCGTTTCCCATTAGAGCCACTTTTTATTCCCGAATTTCGTAAAACATTCATATTGTATGTCGTGATTCGTGAAGCACCCCATTCCCGTGACTCCTAAATGCAGCATTCTCTGCCCTTCGAGAAACGAAATCGTTATACCCAGTGATTCGTGATTTTCAGGATTTTCGACGCACATTATCAGTGAGATATGAATCAAGTTTTATTTACCGTGACTTAATTGTTAATCGATGGTTTTATTTCCCGTGAAGCACGATCACTACCCTCCCCCCCCCCCAAAAAAAAAGGGAGCCTCAATTTACAGCGTTTTACACTGTAAATGACGAACTTTAATTTACAGTTAAGCAAACAATATAAAGTTATTTCAGTTATGTAGAGGAGCCGCCCGTCAATGATTATCAATGATAACTTCAAGGTGTCAAGATTAAGTAATCAAGATTGTGACTGCATCTACATATAAGCATTCTGATTTAAGGCTGTATTCCCAGAGCTTTTAGATCGATCTATCCCCGCGGGGAGTCTCACTAGATTACTGTCAGATAATCTGGCTTAAATGTCCGTCCCGCCTACTACAAGCTGTAAGGGGGTAATTAACTTTTGTGTCCGCTTGGCTGACAGCTATTTAGCGTGAACCCCCAGGGAGTTAGGTCGATCTAAAGTAGATCGATCTAATCTCTGGAAATGGGGTCTAAGACTTTAACTAGCATAAAGTGTCAAATACTTAGTTCTATGAGTGTTTACGCTTTTAAAAAGTCACCAGTTGCCAAGTACTACAGCGTTGCAATGTTTACCTTAAGCGTGGTCGGTCTCCTCGTGACTGATACTGTCTTCACACTTAACTGTCGGTCGTTTGTATCTCCACCCTTAAGGCCTGCAGAGAACGTCACCCTGAAAAAACGCTGTAAATGATTAACGACTGAATATGCTGCGAAAAGTCGATTGACGTGACGTTAAACAACACAGTGGCATCTCTTGACCAAGATAAACAAGCACCTGTCAGAAAATGTCAGATTTCTAGGACATGCCCTGCAATCAAAATATTTCAAGTTATGATTTTAACAGGGATGATCAAACTTTAGTCATCATATCTATTGACAATTAAATGGACACTCTGGCCATATGTATCACCCCAAAAAACGCAAGGGGTTTAGTCATCATTATAAAAACGTTGTTAGACGTTGTTATTGCTAGAGCATTTTTTCTTTCACAATGACCGCATTCAGCTTCACACATCGTACTAGCTGTGTCGGTCCAGCTCTGTGGAATCAACTTCATTGTCTGACACGACTCCTCGAGGTGGCAGGGGGTACTTAACTATAGTGTGCTCATTAAACCGATTCCACTGATTGCACTTTAGCGAGGATCCCTGGCAGAGTTTGAACGACCCAGCCAGTACGATGTGTGTACATGTATCTGAATGCGTCCTATGACGATTTTTAACTTCTACTGGTGAAATATCTGACAGTACCTTGTAATCTGTACAGCAGAGCCACCAGAAATGGTAAACGAGCCTGTCTTATTCTCTCCTTGTTTTAGCACAAATGATTGCGTTAAGGGGGGCCTCAGAAGATGTTTATCGTCAGTGGCGTTAACTTCAAACTGTCCGTCAGCTCCAACATTTGTCAAGGTGAATCTTATCAGCATGGACTCATGAACAAAAAGAGTGCCTGAAAGTTAGAATTTTCTAATGACATTCTCATTTATTTCATGTTTATATCAAAGGAGTTGCAAAGCTTGTTCGTGAATATGACACGTGAGAAGTCCAAAAGTCTTTAATAAAAGTTTTTTTTTTGTTTTTGTAATTGTTTTTGTCATTATGAATGTTATATGTAATTTAGGTAAATGATGTTAAAACTCTAATCAATTGTGGGTGACTTGCTAAGACACAATAAATCGTCATTTTAATGTTTTAGTGGGGACTTTGCACACTTTCGGGTTGAATTGCTGAGAAAACTGGTTGCCAGTAGGGCATGCGGTGGGGGGGGGGGGGGGG